CTTTCCCTTTAGCTGTTGCATTTTGATTTTGCTAATGACTTCCATATGTGAAAAAATACATGAAAATACATGAAAAAAAGCCTTTTCTCACACTTCAATCAACCTAGCTTCTGATATACCATGCTGTATTTGACCTTTGAGGCTCTCAGATATAGCCTGTGGAACAATACCATCTAGTGACAAAATGGTAAATAGCATTCCTGAGATCCCCAAGCAGTGGAATAAAGAAGCTTGCCTGCTGATGAGGTCACCTTTTCAGGTCTTTCTACTGCAGATTCTCTGATGACTAATAAGGGGTGAACTCATACTGCCACCTTTTCCACTGTGGGGATATTAACAGGATCTTCCTCCTCTAACCAGTTGCCTGTTTTCATGAAACTGAGGTGCTTTGGGACCCCCCCATCAAATTTTATTGAAACTGTCCAGTAAGGACAATAGTCAGGGGACAGCTCCCCTCCTTCCCCACACACACCCCCACTTGGATAGAGCGCATGCAGGCCTGAGCTTTGTTTTCTTAGGAAACCGGGTTAACATGGAGTTTAAGTTTCATCGGTAGGAGCTGCTGCAAGTTGATGTGTTGCACGTTCAGGTGACACTTCATTCTGAAATCTGTTTCCAGGAATAAACTGCAGGGCCTGAGAGCAAAGGTTACACAATTTCGGATCAGGCATGTGTGTTTGCTGCACTGGTTTAATCAGGCTTCTGGATTTTTTTTTTTCAATTGAATGTAGGGTTTTAACTTTGGAGCTAATTTCTATTTGATGTTTGGATTGTAGGTGGAACGAAGAAGATGGACAGGATGCCTTGCTCAAGGGCATCTCAGCAGGTGAGCAAATTTTAGTGGCTCTAAGATAGGCCAGGCAAGGTGGAATTCATTTCCACGGAACATTATGTCATCTAGGATGGCACAAGATTCAGCTAACACTAGTGGATTTATTATGTGGTATCAAAACACACAGAGGCTACAAAGTATTATGGCACAGGGATATAAGCATGAACGGGAAGCATTTAGGAAGAAACTTTCCATGGTCAGCTTATTTCATACATCCAGTACAAGAATTTTCTACTGTTCTCTGGAGCTGGCACTTGTGAATTACACACGCAGACTAAACACGTCGGTGTCCCAACCAGGCTGGTTTACCTGTGTGTGTTTTTGGATTAAGGTTCTGAAATTACCACCCCGTTTTAGGTTTGAAGGGGGTGTATATCTGTTGCCTAACACGGTCTTCACCTCTCCTTTCTTGCTTCCAGGCTATCTTTACATGTGAGTCACAGGTACTTACTGGATCCTATCCCTTTTTGGCTACTTCTCCGGGATAGGAAGAATTATCCCCTGGAGGTGCTGATCTCTTTTTCGGTGGTTGTTGGGGCAACCCAAAGAACGAGGGTAGACCAGGCATGTAATTGTAGATAAGTAGATTATGTGAAATTAATTCCATCCTGAAGGCTGCCCAGGCCAAACCCTGAGTCAGAATCAGAGCTCGAATTCATGGGCTTGTGCAGAGGTTTTTTTCAGTGACAGGGCAAATCTCTGAATGCCACCAGACTTGCCACTTGATCCTCTTTCCATTCAAATTAGTTGAAAATCGTATGAGCTTGAATGTTCAGAAACTGAATCTTTACAGGATAGGTTAATGAGAGTAGGAAATTGCTACTAAAATTTTCTCCGCCTCTGTTGAAAAGAATCCGGGGGTGTCTAACCCAGACAGCAACTGGAGACTACAACTTAACGTGTCATTCAAAAGGCATCTGTGAAGTATTTGCCTTGACTCTGGATCTTAGAAATGAACTTCTGTGCTTAGGCTGGTATTTTTCAAACTTTAACCACATTTTTTTTTTGTGTCACATCCTCCAGTTTCCTTCTGATCATTGTTTATTCTGTCGTCTGTGTGAAAACAGGAGCCTTTTCTGTTTGTAACTCACTGATTCATGCTCTGACATTCTTTCGGGTCTGTCACGATTGTAAGCAGAGCACCAGACACCTCTTTTCTTGCAGCATGTGAATTTCATTAGAATACGGTAGCAGTAGTGAGAGTGTCTGAAGGTGGTGGAAACAGCATTAGTTGCTGAAAAATGGAAGAGTCACTTTATCCATTGTATGCGTCCAAAGACTTTAAAAAAAAAAAATCCCAAGCCCTCTGCCTGGTAGATTCTGCATGGCAGAGGGTTTTTTTAATGTTTTCTTTGATACTGTTTTTTAAACCATCATAGCTTAGAAGTTGGCTAATATTTCAGTCAGTTTAGGGAAAAAGAAAGTCAAGTCACTAGTTAAAAAGTGCAGATGATCATTGTAAAGCCAGTGCTAATAAAAATTTGACACTGTTTTCCATATGAGAGGGACTTTCCCTTCTTTTCTGAGGGAAGTGGTTAAAACAAATGACTATTGTGTATTCCACTTGAATCAGGAAGCCAAACTGGTGAGTGAAGTTTGTCTTAAAAAATGAGGACAAGCTGGGGTGGATGGGAAGTCTGAGTTGGGTATTATCTAACAGGGTCAAGTATAGGTAAGATGGGTAGAAGTAGTCCTGTTGGGGTGTGAATGCGAACACCTTGTTGCTATCCAGACTACAGTACAGTCAAGTAATAGCATTGCCCGACTGTCAGGTGTGTTCAGAGAAGCCCTCTGCTTTAAGGAGCTATAAGGCCTCCAAAAAGTGACTTGTTTTCTCCTGGATTTCGGAGTTTAATCAGCTTGGTGTGTGAGGGGCCTTGGGGAACAACCTAGCCTGGGCCATGGAGGTCTCCCTTTATTGGGGCTGACATGAGCCCTTAGACTTGCAGTGCTAGTGCCTGACTTTGAGTGTTAGGTTTCCACCAGAAGATCCCTTTGAACTAGGTCACAGAGTGATCGCTCACGTACCAGCACTGCCGTAAGGGAGCGGGCAAGACTGGACAGCGAGGAACGGGCAAAGAGGGGCCGGGAGGGTGACCTGCCCTTCTGGTGGCAGCGCAGTGTTAGCTGTTCAGCTGCCCATGGAGCAGCACCTCAGGGACTTGGGTTTAAAGCTGCTCTCTGTACAGTTAAACATTCAGGCCAAGATTTTCAGACCTAACTAAAATAATTTGGAGCGTCCCAGAATTTGGTATTTGTACAAGGATTTGATATTCAAGAAATGCTGAGCTCAAAAATGGTACCCACAGTCACAAGTGGCTTTTGGAAATGTGGAGGAACCCATTACTGCTCTTCATCTGAAGTGAACTGCTTTATTCTTTCTGGTTCCTTGGTTATCAAAAATAAAAACTGTGCTGTTGGAACTTAGTTTATTGGTCATTATCTTCCTGACATATAGCTCTTCAGGAAAACCAGGAATGAAAGTATTAAAAGCTTATTTTTATCTAATCGACATGGGAGAGGCAAAGGATGCAGATCTGCCAAAAGAGAAGCAGCTATTCCTGTCCAGTTAGAACTGTAACTGGCCTTCAGTAACGGCCATGGAGCATCTCTGACAGAGGGCTTTTCAGATTGGAGAAAAATTTACATGTACTCAACTGGCTTGTTATCTGCAATCTCGTGATTGATGATACTTAGGATCAAATGAGAGATTGCCCTTTCCCAGCAAAGCATCTCTGTACTTAATCATCCAGAGTTAGACACCAGCATGTAAATGAGCCTACCTCTGCTGACTTGAGGAGAGTTTTTCTGATTGCATCAGCCAAGGATTTAGCCCAGTGTGCTATCTTTATGTGTCTTGCTACTTTCCACTGACATTCTAGGAGTTGTGAAGAGTTGGGTAAAACAGGGCATAGCTGCCCATTGATTTAGCTTATAGAAATCTGCTGATGAGAATGGGATCCTGCACTGAACTTCAGATAGCTTCTTGAATTCTTCAGCATGCTTCCTTCTCCTTTTGTGAATGCTTTAATGTTCTTGTCCTGCAAATTGATTTTGGTAAGCTTTGCCTTCATTTAAGCAAACATGTTGCAGTGGAATGAGTTTGGAATGAAACAGAACTAGAAGATGAGTAAAATCTGACCATGTGGACGCCTCTGCAGGCTTTTATCTCCCCTCAGGAAGCTGTGGGCTGAAGTTCTGGGGTGGTCCTTAGAGCACGGTCTCACTGCACAGTGAAGCAGCCGTGCAGAGAGCCCTGAATTGCCCCTGACCGAGCCTGTGCGAGAGCTGGAAATGGTGTGGCCCTGTCTGCACAGCACAAGTCAGTTCTGCCTCCCAAGTTTCTGGCTTCATTAGCTAGGGCCAGACACTGCTTATGCTGCTAGTCTGGCGGTGCTTGTGCTCCTAGACTGCTGTGGGAGCTGAGGAAGCGTGTTGACACTTGGCCTTGTGTGGACATAATCAGTTTGGATAGCTCAGGGGTCTCTGCACTGCGCTTCGTTGCCTGCTGTAGGCATTCCCCTGCCATGCGGATTAGCTCTCTTAACTGGAGCTGTCTGAAAGTTAGATGTCTAGGGAGACATTCATCCCTAAATGTTGTAAATCAGTGCTGTTTTAGACCTCAGAGGATAGCCTGTCTGGCCTCCAGCTGCTGCTCCCATGCAGGAGACTTGGCTACCTGGCCACGTCCTCTTTCTCCAAGGGACTGTGTCAGTGATGGGAGCCAGTGTGAACCCAGTCTTTCAGAGATGACACGTCACAAGTGATACCTGTCGTGTTTGCCAGTGATCAGTGTCCTGTTGGTGCCCAGGGCCCTGGTCACCCTGATGGAGGTTCTTGTGCCTTTGCTGAGCTTCCGTGTTGTACGCAGCTTCTGTCTGAAAGTGAAGGTCAGCGCAAGTGGATCCAATTGCAGAACAACAGCTTGGAGATCAAGACCTTTGTTGTCTGTTTTTTCCCAAGCAAACCACTTCTAAAATTGCCATGACAGAAAGCAGTTGAAGGGTGAAGCCTGCCATTTGCAGAGCAATAGGAAAGCATTTTTCTGTGGCAATGTCATTATCTTGAACTTTTGCAGGAAAGAAAAAAAAAGGTTTATCTCTAACTGTCTATCAAGAGAGCTGTATCTGATGAGAAGTTCCCAGAACGTTTTCTCCTCCAAACCAGCTGAGGCTACACAGACCCAAACAATGAAGAGAGAAAGATTCAGAGATGAGCTTGCCTCTCTCCTTCCTGTGAGCCCAGGCCATTCTGGGAGGAGTGAGACAGGGAGGTCAGGAAATTCCTGGCTTCTCTCAGTTCACGTCAGATCCTTAGCTGTGTCTTGGGGCCATTCATCCCTTGCATGAGTTATCCCTGTCTAGCGTGCAGGAAACAGTTTCCTAGCGATCTCTTCATTCAGAGGTGAGGCCCATCACCCCGCAGATCCAGGGAGTTTTAACCCTTGCACCCTCAGATTCCCTGACAGCTACCTCAGGGACATCTGCGGGAAGACGTGGAGCTTCCGCGCTGGCTGCCTTTACATATGTTCATAACGTACATGCTAGCAACCAGACCCTCTAGAGAAATCTGCATAAATTCAGCTTGGACAGATCTAATATCCCATGAGGGACCAAGCTGGGTAGCAGCATAGTAGGCAGAAGGAGCGTCCATTGCTTTTCGCCTCCTCAGTTACAATGCTGTAATCTTATGGGGGAAGGCTTCTGGTTTTGGGAGGCATATTGAATTGTGATTCGGCAACCAGAATGGCCGGCATGGCAGCGTACAGTGTGATTGAGGGCCCTGGAAGAGATTATAAGGAGAGAGATTGATACATTTTTTTTTTAACAGGTATTTTTGAAGAATTTTTTTTTTTTTTCCCTCTGGAAAAATCTGTTCATTAGTCCTTTAAATGCTACAAGATACACAAGGCATAGAGTAGGCATGTGAGACTTCCAGTTCGCAAAAAAGAAATTGCATTGAATGTCAAAGATTTTAACAGTGAGCTATGGAAAAGGAAGAGGACTAGTGGTAGTCAGTGATGTGTTGGCATGGCTTCCTGGGGACCAAAATGTGGCAAGTTTCCACAGAAGCACCACAGTGAGTGTCTTTCATTTTTCCACCTGCGTAAATTGGCTTTCATGCTAACCAGCATGATTCTCCTCCACTTGTACAGATGAAAATCAGGATTAATTCTACTGATGTCAGTGCAGTCGCTTTACTGGAGACTGATATGAGACCAGTGCTGGGCCGTGCGTCAAGCGTTTAACCACTGTGCTGCCTTCGCAGAATCACTGAGATCAGAAGGGACAATTTGAGATCGTCATGTCCAACCCATCTGCTCAAAGCAGGGTGAAGTGGAACAGGTTTCTTAGGACCTTGTCCGGTCAGGTGTTGAATATCTCCAAAGACGGAGACTCCACAACCTCTCTGGAGAACTTGTGCCAGTAGCTGATCACCCTCACAGTAAAAAAAAAGATTGTCCTTATGTTTAAATGGAATTTCCTGCATTTCAGTTTGTGTCCGTTTCCTCTCGTCCTTTCACGGGACACCATGACATACCTTGTGAACCTTGATTTTTGCTGTGCTTGGAGAGCATGGAGCAGCCAACTGTCAGTGAGTGGATGGGAACTGTTGCCTTCAACCAAACAGAAATGGCCGTTCACCAGGGATGCCTCAGGTCCTAGGGGATCAATTTAAAGAGTCACTGGCTTGATTTTTGAAAGTGGCAAGCGTTTGCTGTGCTATTGGGTCAATGTTAGCTGCAGCTGAAATCACAGGATACATCAGGCGCTGGCTCTCTCTGATTAAAGTTTCCTGATGATGATGGACGTCCCCTGACACCTGAGAATCATTTTGCCTTATTTCAGCAGTTAAGTCTTGTATCTCAATCCTTATTCTTCTGGCTCGCTTGATAAAACTGGACTTCTTTTGACATTAATGTGCTTCTGAATTTGTCAGGATAGTTACAAGGTACCAAACTAAACACTCCGTGTCCCTGACAAAGGGAACCCTTCTGAGGGCATAAAATTTGCCAAGTGCCAAACCTCAGCATGGGGCAGGCCAGGGACAAAGAGGGACACAGTCGAATGCTCTTGTGCAATTTTAGCTTTTCTACATAGGATGCCTTGGGAAGCAAAACACATGTCAGAAGAGCTGTAAATTTGCTTCGATTTATGCTGGGAATTTTTGGCTGGAATATGTGGGGACACTGGGGATTGAAAACTGCAGAGCACAGAACTAGGTCCTGATTTTGTCTATCTAAGAATAGCAGTGTAGCTGTGGTCTGCTCATTCTGTTTCATCCACCAGTCTGCCTTGGGAAGGCTTTAATCTAAGTCTAATCTATTTTTAGCCTGATATCTTCTCCAGACAATGTGCAGCTGTTCTGTTAGCTTTATGCCAGAAGTTAGTAACACTTGTATGATTCACAAGTTAGCTGTATTTTTACAGAAAAATTCTGCGGCAAAATATTACTGTTTTACACGTAGTGCAGTATTGTAAAACAGGAGATTCAAACTCACTGTGTATTCATGGTTATGACCTAGACCCAGAACTATGCCTTGGACTCAGAGCCCCGAGGTCATGGGCCTGTTCCTGTCTTTGCTACTTGATCTGAACTTGTCCCACCTGTCCTGTTGTCAGCACGGTTCCTTTGCAGGGTAAGCGTGCGAGGGCCTGGGCCTTGTCATACGTGCTTTTATAGCACCTGGCTCATCAGCGGAGCCGAGGACCTGCAGTGGTTGTGTAAGCCAAAAAACCAACATTCATACAGCGCAAGCTCTCCCATCAGTTATTCTACGTCAAGCATCCCAGTACATGGGAAAAATTAGAATTAATCAACTTCTGGAGGCTTTGATTGTATATTTAGTCAATGGGAGGGATTTCCTGCTTTTTACCACACCGTTGAAGAGGTTTACTTTCTGGTTAAAGTCAAATAAACATACGTAGGATCTGACTTAATCCCATTTACAGCAACATTTCTGGGGAAGAGAAGAAGCTTGAGTGTTTGGTTAAGGATGGGACCTGGAAGTTGGACTTGGGGTCTGTTCCTGGCTCTGAATTCCTACATGAACTTGTAGCTGGGCAAGGGCAGGACAGAACACGTTGGCTTCGGTGAAATACCTCACACAGTTGACATCTTATTCATTCAACAAATGAATAGTGCTGGTCTAGAGCACTTGATGGCTTGCATGGATGTTTTTACTCTTCTCATCTCAGGTTCCTGTTAGGTGGTCACGCTGCCTGTGGTAAAAGGGAGGAAAACTGTGGGAGAGTTGCAGTGGACTCTGCATGAGCAGCTGCTCCTTGTGGCTGTTTCTCCCACCTCATAAGTATCCCATCCATGCAGAAAATTTAGGAGGAATAGCAAAGGGGTAAAAACTTTACTGAGTAGTTGCCTGTGCTGCAGAAGATCCATTCCTCAATAGAGGAAATAAAAGCACCAACTCTCTTGCTCTCTTTATGTGGTTTAGGCTAAAATAGAAGGAGAGCTGCCTTATTCAGGTGACGGGGGGCTGGGAGACTGGGGATCGCCACTTTGCTTTATTGTGTGGCCAGCAGGACAGGGTACAAACCCTGCAGCTGTGTTAGCACTGGAGGGTTTTTGGATGCAGTGTTTCCCCCCTCTGGGCCCTTTACTTCAGAAAAGGAAGCAGACAGGTTAAAACGATGCCAGGGAAAGGAAAGTAAATAATTGCCTAAAATGCCAGTTTGAGCAGCTGGATATCAGGTCAAGAGCTGTAACACAGAGATCCACTCATCACTCGCTCCTCAAGCAAATATGCCTTGGGCAGCGTTGGAAGTTTTGTCAGCCTGAGTGTGCAGGATGAAGGAGAACCTGCCTGTCCCACTTTGGCAGATTCTTGTTTTCTCTGTTTTTATGGAAAGGAAATTGTACTTTCTGCATTAGGCAATATCGTGTTGCTCATAATGAAGAGGAGGGAAGAGGGGAGGAAAAACAATTTGAAACACGACAGAGAGGCAAAGTGAGGTTGTTTCAAACTATTTTGCTGTTAATCCATAATCAGAGTTATTTCACGCATTAGAAAGACCATTGCTATGTAGAGTTTACGGAAGCCTCATACCAAGGTCAGATAGAAAGAAAGCCTTGATGATGTGAGTGGGGAATTCTATAATGACCACATGTTGTAATCTGGAGACCTTGTGCTTGTCTCCAGGATGCATTCTGGAATAGCTCTTTATTAACTCTTTGTGTTTATCCGGCTTCAGTTACGGGATTCCTCATGTTTTCTGGTGAAACTGGAGTAAGGTACTCCTATTTTGGAGCAGGAACTCGGTTAGCACTCTTTTTCCTCTTCATTCACCTTACTTTCATGCAAAGGAACTTTCTTTTGGAGGCAAAGTTCAAGTGGTGTGCTGTGGTGTGTCCCTTCAGCTCAGTTCCAGTGAGAGCAAGAGAGGTTACATTGCCAGACTGTGTGCTTTGTCCCTTCTGGGTGGGCAACAACACATGTTACTCTCTGGAGCTCCGGATTATTACTGTAAAAATGCAAATATGTTATGTGATAATAAGTGAGTTTTTGTCACTTGGCACAGCCAACACTTCAACTGTTGTTCTGGCTGTCCTTCTCTCTGTGGTCTGTCTGAATTGCCTGTACCATTGACCCATTTATATTCTAACATATATTTATCCGTGTTTTTTAACCTTTTGGTTTGTAGGCCCCTGAATATTTTTGAGGGAGGTTTGTGTCTTTCTAGAGGGAAGTTAAGCCTCTTGGAAAAAAACTTGCTTTGCTTAGTTATTTTTTGCAGACTCACGGGTTGTCTTTGATGTCTGAGATTGACCAACTTGTGTTGAATTTCCCTGATGTACAAATAGAGGTACTGCATGTCTCCTCCTAAAAGGCTGTTTCCAGTGACCACAAATTTGACATGTGCCCCCCTTCTTTTACATACTTTTATGATTATCTGAGGTTGGTGGAAAAGTCTATGGCCTGTAAGCTGTTATATTTCTCAAAGGTCTCCTTGCTCCTCGTGTTTTCTTTTGGCAGTGGGGAGATGGGTACTGTTCCTTGTGCCACCAAAACCATTCTCTGTCCCTGAAGCTGAACCTGATGCTTTCACAGATCTTACAGTCCCAATTCCATCCGGTATTTCAATTTTGATTCCTTGCCTAACTGCTTTTCTGGAAAACAGGATCATGCTGAACAAACCCAGGAGGGTCCAGGAAAACACATTGTAGTTTTGGAAGTTGTATTTCTTGACTCATCTAGCAGGAGCCTGTACCGTGAGAATGATCACTGTTTCTGATGGTTCTTACAGATAAACTGCCTGAACCTTGCGTTTAGCCAGGAAGAGGTAATAGGACCCAAGAAGAAAAGGAAGGTCAGTGAACCAGAGAAGCCGCTTCTGCAAGGCGGGAAGTGATGTTCATTCTGACACACAATACATTTTGGAAGGTGTGAGTTTGCATTGTCATCTGACTAGTAAAGACCTTTACTCTCTTCCAATATTTAACTCGTCCACATACCACGTGTATTTCTGCATGTTTATTTGTCTAGTGCAAACTTTGGATTGTAAAGAGACAGCAAGCACCATAATTGTCATGACAATGTCAACCACCAGCACTTGTTTGATGTTCTAAAAAGTTGAGGATTTATGATTCCATGTGAATGGTGTCTGTGTGCTTCTTTCTTTCTGTCTCTCTCTCTCACACTCCTGCCCCCCCCGTCCCCCACTGGCTAAATGTCCTCCTCAGTGGCTGGACTGTCCTTTGCCACTATGTCATCAATATTTAATGGCACTATTTCAAGATGAACTCTCTGAGGTATCAATGCCAGCAAGCAACAAGTCTCATGATTCACTAGATTGTGCTTAACTTCATCCTATCTACTGTTTCCGGAGCATAGATTTTTTTTCAAAGAAGGGTTTTTATCTATATTGAATACAGAGATAAAGCAATCTATACACATTTTCTGCTGGTGCTGGATGTTTTTTTCTGACTCTGCAAGTAGTGTTGCTATGACTATATTATCAGCTTATTTCTAAAACAGCAACCCACCATGTGCCAAGGGGTTTAGACAGCTGTGCGATATAAATTGTGTTGAAATACACCACATTTAAAACCTAACTTGTTGCAAATACAGGTAAGGAGAACAACAGCAACAAAGGAAAAAAATTCTGTGTCCCTTGGAGCAAAGGTGCTGTGCTTTGTTTCATGTAGATTGCCTGGCAGGCACTCTGTCAAGACCTTATGGTTGTTACTGGAGTGGGAGGAGCAAAATGGTCTTAGTTGGTCTTAGACATTTTAAAAAAGATGTTCAGGGAACAGCTTTTGCGTTACTTTATACGCATCGCAAAAGAGATACTGAAATATGAAACGGTGAAGAAGGGAATGTAGTGCACTCTCTTCCCAAGGTAATGTTGATCACCTGAAGTGTTCAAATCTTACGGTGATGGAGAAATAAAAGCACTAGAGTACAGCAGAGTAATGTACACCCAGTGGTGTAGCAGCATCCCTGACGTTTCAGATACGCAGCGAAGATATTTCAGGACAGGACTTGAAGAGCAGCAGTGGTTTTGGATGTAAGGTGTTTCTTTCGTGGTGTATGTCATACAGCTCTGTAGAAAGCGGTGAGGAGCATTTGACAAGTGTCTGACCCAGAGTGTCTAAGGCATCTGACTGAAGGACTTCGGCCACCAGTGCCGTCGCTTGACACAGCGGGTTCCCTGTCGCCATTAATATGGTGCTGTCTTCTGCTCTGGCTCTAGACATCACTGCTGAAACAGTGATTTTTCCTTGACTGGATAAAGGTGGGGATTGATGTGTTTCTCTTGTGCTTTATGCTGGTTGGCCATCTGAAAGACTTGAAAGCCAGACTAGAACTGGCTGACTGGGTAGAGATGACGCTGAAGCTGAACACCCCTAGATGTTCAGTCGACCTCCTTCTCCAGGTAGCTGAGTAATGCATTGCAATTCTAATGCTAATACCACAGCTGCCCTTACTCGGCCCAAGGCAGACAGACCACTGACTGTCCCTGAGCCTGCAGCAGTGTCTGGCGGGTTCCATGGCTTGATGCCTATTTCACAAAACTTGTAGAACATGAGAGTTCTCCATTTTATCCTCACTTTCAGTCCTGTGTTCTCATTTTTGCACCTGTGGCCTAACAAGCCAGTTTGTTCACATGCCAGAGCAAACCAGAAATCTTCCTTCTGCCCAGATTTTGTAATGATATTTGCTCTCATGCCTGCACATCCACGGGAGGCCTGCGTTCTTTACAGAACAGCTACAGCTCAGGACCTGCCTTGACCTGACAGCCCTGCCCTGGCACTGCTGGACTGCGTGGCTTCCATATTCCTTCAGCCCACTGACTCCTGCCTGCACCCAAAGCCTCCTCGTGTTGTGTGTGCAGAAGAAAGTCAAACGTCTCTGTGATTATGGCTACTCAAACACGTTAGTCCTTCCTCTATGCGCACGACACCACGAGGCTTAGGGGCAGGCCACCTTGCTTGGTGCATACTGGAAGATGCAAAGTGTCTTGTCCCACAAAGAAAGTGAAGTAAGCTGTCTTCTGTTACCACATAGTCAGAGTGTGCACACAGGCACCACGAAGTAAATCCACAGCTTAGGTGACTGCACGATGCCTTGGTCTTGTAGCCATGGCCAGAGACTCACTGTCTCAGTTCACATTGGCTTCTAATCAGCTATTTTACGGTAATGACTTTTAGTCATTTTCATTTCAGGCTTGGTTAGAAATAAAGTAACTTGTGATGAACTGCCACAGTAAGCGTCTGATTTTTCTTTCCCACAAACTTGTGGTTACCATCAGATTCTAAGAAAAGTCTTTCCACTGCAGATTGGAATCGTATAAGCCACTTACACGTATCCTTTTATTTATTAGCAATTCTGCTTGGCTAGCTAAAGGTAAAAAAACCTTTTTCTTGTGTTTCAGTCGCATTTCTAGTTAATACTCATTAACTGACTTAATGTGTGTTACACATCATCAACCTGATTCACAACTGACATAAAACAGAAGCAATTCGTTAGTAACGGTCCCTTGCCAATTAATGAACTAAATTACGTTTGAACAATTTTCTTCAAAGATTCTCCTCCTCCCCCCCATGCATCATTTGGCAAGTCCCTGAATGCTTACAGTAATTATGTGCATGCAGTGAAAGGAGACCGTTACCTCTTAAACCAAAATAAATGAATATGTGATCTTTGTGCTAATGTAACAGTGAGTAATACAAAGAATCACAGACATCCTCCCTTTGATCTCCCAAAGATACAAACAGCAATTAAGATTACAAGCCACTTTAAAAACCAGAATATTGGGAACATTCTGTAAGGGGAAAGTGAATGCTTCACAGGGTTTTTCAGAAAATCACTGAAGAAGGGGAGCCCTTTCTTGTTTATCGTGACCACAGGCTTTTTAATAGATGTAATGTGGATATCCTTAACCTGCCGAGCCACAAACAGGTTAGCGGTGCTTCTAAAAATCGTTCCTTGTTTCTGGGATAGTGTTTAGCAAGAAGAGTAGTATCTCTGTTTCAAACTGAAAGTCAAACTGAAGTCAAACGGAAAATGCATTGTCTCAACCACATCCTTAAATACACTGTCCTCGACAAGAAAATAACCCCAGCTCCTGGTGCTGCACAGTAATCTTATGGACAGGTGTCAACATTCATTTTTCACCTGAAAACCGAGGCTTCTTTTGGGATTTCCACTGCCGCGTGCGATCTAGGAAATCATCTGATCTGATTGCTGCTGCTTTCAGTTTTGGAAGGAGAGCAGAGAGAAGAAATGAAACATGACGCGGGAGTAGGAGAAATGAAGATTCTTTCACACTTAAAACTGGGGAGTTAAGAGTTTTGCCACTGATTTCAGTGGAGCGTGGAGGGGCCTCTATCCGTGGTGGTAATACAAAAATCATAGTGTAACACTGTCCAAAGGAGCTAAGCGATCATTTTGTAACTCCAGTGGGTTTCTGAAGTGGTACCGGTGAAATACCTTGGGTATACCTTGCTATAAATGTGATTAGAAATCAGCTAGTATTTTCACGAGTATAATTCTAATCATAAATCTTTACCTGAAGAACTGTTCCAGGAGATTACCATCTCGGGATTTGGGCTGGGACTTTAATTTTTGTAGGTTCTGCATTCTTTGTCTTGAGTCAGCAGGTAAAGTATGTGGTTGTGGCCTGCTGTGGTGGAGCACCTGCATTTGTCATGACACAGGCTTGCCATTCTTGGGGGCCATGATCTTTGTGCCAAGAGCATAATGTCACCCGACTGGAATCCCATCCATGTGTGTCGCTGGGCAAAGTCTTTTTTGTTAATGGATGAGTAAAATTTCATCAGGCTTTTGTTGTCATCACGAGGTAAGTAAGAGGGATTTGCATCTGAGCTGGCATATTTTCCATAAGCAGTTCCCAAGGCTAATTTAAGTCAGGTTGGCACGTATATCTTTCCTTTAAGCAGAGGCTGAGATTCCAAAGCCTCACAGGAGTTTTCCATAGGAAACACCGCCCTGGGTATCCGTGTGCCAGATATGCCTGTATGGCATTTCCTGGAGCATCAATGACCTACTGTTCTAATGCAGAATCGATCGGACACCTTGTGACGTCTCCTAAATACCTTGCTGTGGAGTTTGTCTTTTATGTGCTAGAAAAATAGGAATTAAGATAGTCTAGCTGTAAAATATCAGTGGATTCAACACAGCGATCAGGTCAGGTTGTAACAGAAATAATACAGCTGTCCCCATTTACTTCGCATGGTTTGTTTTGGAAGGGCTAACGATTCCCTGTACAAACATCTTGATGTTTTCTTGTCTGATTAGCTAATGGATTTAGCTCTGCATTTAACACCTTCTTAAGGAGGGGGTCTTTTTGTTATGGAGAAGACAGACCCTTAAGCATAGTTCAGGAAAGCTCAAGGCCTGTTGCTGCTATTTACAAGAAAGCACCTAAGACCTGCACTGGAGGACTTGGAGAAAGCACTTACCAGTGGGAGAAGGGGGATGTGGTAGGCAAATATAAGGTACCGGTTTCTTTTACAAGCATGTCATGATATATTTTGTTCGTATTACTTGTATTTCTTTACAGGACGTGCAGTGAGGGGATGTTTATTCTGATGAAAGTCTAGGCTTGATAACAGGAAACCAAGTCCTTTGTGCAGTAAATTGACCTTGAATCACACACAGACCTTTTTTCAGCAACAGAGGGTAAGACTGTCTTAAACACAGGAAAATGGTGTCTCTAGAAAACAAAGTGGCATTTTGAGTTGGCTAGCATCTACCCAAGCCTTTGCCAGCCTCAGAACCGTGAATGTCAGCCTGAGCAGGTGGTAGAGATGCAGCCGCGGGTCAGGGACTTGCCAGGAGAGCCAGGAGGACAGTTGCTTTTTGTCCCTGAATACTTTTTCTTCA